AAAAAAAAAAAAAAAATAGGGTGCGTTTGAGCGTAAGCATGGAAAAAAAAAATTCAGGTAATTCAATTGTCTAGTTTTTATTTGTATGAAAATTGTCAATTAAATGTGTTTGATTGATTTAATTTTCAATTTAGAAAATATTATACTTATCCAATTTTTATTTGTGAGTAGATGAGAAAGAGTGGATAGATGAGAGAGAGAAATAGTTATCTAAAAAATAAAATCATACTTCTCTGGAAGAAAATATTTTCCTTGATTTTGAATAAAACATGGTCACGAGATTTAAAGTTTGAAAATATTTTCCAAGAAAAAAAATAACAATTAAATAGTGCAAAAGTAAGAATTTGGGTTTAAAAAAATATATTTTCCATGAAAAATATTGGTAATTAAACGAACTCTTATATCTTTATGTCAATTGAGATTGTATATCCAAATCCGCACAAGATAAAATTCTCAAGCAATGAAATTTTTGATTTAGAGTCAATAATATTAATTAAGATTAATACAATATAATTTTTAGGGTTTTCACCAGGTAATTCAAGATGAAAGAAGGATGCCGTAGTTTATACTTTGAAATTTTAAACTTTTGAAGAGTAGGATTCAATGAATAAAGTTTATAACCACTCAAAAGCATTTTAAAATTTAGTTAGTAAAGCGTGACGAATGTATAAATTCAGTGACTAATAAAATGTGATAAGTGAATGATTGAATACATGTTAAATTTCAACGACCACTAGAAAGTATTTAAAAGTTCAGCTGATTAGAAACATAATAGGTGAGTGATTAAGAGAAATGCGTTAAATTTCAATCTCGAAAGTATTTAAAAGTTTAGTTCAGTGACTAATGAAACATTTAACTCCGTGCATGCCGGACTCTTTTTTCTTTTTATTTTTTTATTTATTTTTTGGTCAAAGGTTTTATAGTGTAATTTTCATGAAAGGTGACTACTAGACTTGAATATAGGGATATTTACATGTGTGGATATAATACTCGTTTATTTAAAAGTTTAAGTTGTGAAATCCTACTAGTTTATATCATAGACTCAAACCTCATTTTCATTTATTTATGAAAATTGAAGACATGTTATGATAAGAAAATGAATTCAATCTTGCACGTGTGAGGCATTGTGAAGACAATTAATAAATGAATTTATCCTTCTCTAAAAACTGTGTTAAGAAATGCTTATTGTAGTACTGTTGATTGGAGTATTAGATAACACTAGACATAATCGATTAAAAAAAAAAAAGAGAGAGAGATTTTGTTTATATTATAAAAGAAGTCTAACCAAGGTCTAGACATGCAAAAAAGCTTTTATTTTTAGACCGATTACTATGACAAATCAACATATGGAACTACAGACATTTAAAGCATTGATTAAAGCGATATGCTATTTGTAAATATTCCTATATTCAAGTCTAACCAAGGTCTAGGCATGCAAAAAGGCATTACACTCTCCTCACAAAAAAGCCCACGGAGTGTGGATATAGCGGGTTTTTATTAAACATATTATTTGAAACACGTCATCACCTTTTTGGTGATATAAGGGATACACCTTACGTTTCAAACACTTCACTAACCCCCCATATTATTAGATTATAGTGTTACGTACACGTCCATCACTTTTTTAGCTATATATATAAGCACTTGTGAAGAAAAAATTATGATTTTTACTGTAATTAGTTACAGTTTATTTAGTTCTCCTTAATAATTAATTAATACTTGACTTTACGCAAACATAATTCTAAATATACATGCTGGTAGGAATTTAAACCTAAGATTTGTTGGAAATTTTGGTAATAAATGATTTAAAATTTTTAACTAATTTTATATATTATGCATTTAATGTAAATTTTAAATTTATCAATAAAAAAATTCATATATTTATAAACTAAAATGAGATGTTAAATATAAATATATACTTAACATTTAACTAAACAACAATAAACTTTTCATTAAAATGTCATACACATTCAAAGTTCACTATTAAATAAGATCATGTTATAATAGACTGCTATGTAATATGACATGTCAATTTATATCCTTATACTTTACTCTGAAAGAAAAAAAAATTAATTGTAACTATTCCAATTTTTTTTTTTTTCCTATGCAAGGACACTTTAGGTATATCAACACCAATTTAAATGATGCATTTTCTAAAAGTGGTCAAGAGGTGTATTTGATGCTCAAATCTAGAATATGAAAGTTAGATAGTTCTAAAACGAGAAGAAGTGTCTGATATTGTTAGAAAGGTGAACTGGCATCTTTGATATCATTCTTTTATTTAATTAATTAATAATTTTAGAATAATTATTGAAAAAAAGGTTTTATTTATTTATTTTATGCCTAATAGACTCGTAAAGTTTAGAACTTGATCTTGTCATCTAATCACGCTTTATATATTTTATAAACTGATAACAAGTAGCTATAAATTGCTATACTACAAAGCTTGACAACTATGTATAGCAACTACAGATTCGAAAGCTTTCAACTTTTTATTCTATCCTCATTTTCAAGTTTCTCAATTAAGATATGTTATCATGATCGAGACAAAAAAATGATGGAGAGCGAGTTACAATACTACCTTCTAATACATACTTATAAAATTATTTTTAAATCTTTGATATTTTGAAAATATTCTCAAATGTAATATGTATTCCTATTCAATCCTACCACAACCTTCATCCCCATCTGCTCCTCGTCTCAACCCTCGCATCCGTTGATTGTTGCTTTGCAATACACATCTCTATTACCTCTATAGTAGCACAATGGACGATGACGATATTATAGTTGATGGTCGATAGTATATATCGATGGTTGGAGGAGAGAGGAGATCGACATTTAAATAAACAATAAAACTATTGAAATTGAAAAATGAATAAATATTTACACATAGCAAGATTAGATTATGTGTCAAGTGTATCTTGTCAACTTTATAAATTAAAATTAGCTTGTGCATATCATGTGAGGAAAATTTAACGTTAATATTAATGAAATTATGTAAAAAGGTCGAAATATGCAAATGGAACTTGAGGATTGGGATTAAAAAGTTTATTTTAAAGGTTGAGACAAATTTTTCTAGAGATCCTAAAGGTTGGAGACTAATTGCACAAATTTTTTCAAAATGAAAATGGAAAAGGAAGATTGTTGTAAGAGGATTTGAAATCTGGTTATGCTATTTGTGCATAATGGTGTGCACATCGATTTACACCTCCTTCACATGAAGGGGCTTTGAGGTATACAAGCAGCATTATCTTTTGAAACCATGTTTCCTATATAAAATGTAGAAAATGAACCATTAAGCTGCCCATCATTTATATTTTACAAGTTAAGTTTTTTGTTTATTTTGTTTTATTTTTAAAATATATATAAACTTTGGGGGGTCCGAACCCGTAGCAAATGGTTGTAGATTTGAGGAAGTGGGTAAGAGTAAAGTGTGAACATTTCATTTCAAGAAGTGTGAAATCCAAACTGTCGTTTGAGTAATCCCAGAAGTTGAGCATCGAAATATTAACTTATTAAATTCGATAATTATAAAGTACAAATATGGATTGAATCTTATTTTTTTAATTTGCAAAGCCAATTCTTTGAAAATAGAGAGATTAAAGCAAAATTTCAAGGATTGACTATCTAAAATAGAAGCATCTTTGAGCATTTTTAATAGTTTTTTTTTCTTTTTTTGGGTTAAATATCTTCTATCATATAAAAAGCATCTTAAATGATTTTAAAAAAATTTAAAAGTCAGATTTTTAATACAATTCGAATAACACTCACTATATTTATTCGTTATTTTGCTTCTTAATTTTTTCATTAGTAGTAAGCACTTGCATTGCATATCTTATATATCGAATAAATGATATACACAATATTTTTGAAATATTAATACTGTTTTTTCAAGTAGGTGAGATAATTGATAATGTTAAAGAAAAAAATGAAGCTTCTATGAGAAAAATATTGGTTAATTCTGACATTATATAACATCTTTCCATCACACAAAATTAGTTTTAAAACGTCAATAGGGATGTTCTTATTGCTGCAAATT